CGGGGTGTTGCGTAACTCTAACAAACCTCGATCGAAATCCTCGCAGTCGATATTTCCTGAGGGTGACACCTAAAGGATCAGGTGTTTAACAATCTTGACTGCGGCTTCAGCGTGTCCATTCGCCTGGGGGTAGTGGGGCGAGGTCACGACATGACGGACTCCCCAACGGTCCATGAAGTCCCGGAACTCGTGGCTGGTGAACTGGGGTCCTCCATCAGTCCTGAGACAGAGGGGAACACCAACTTCTCTGAAGTAATGTCTGAAATTCCGGATGGTAGCAGTAGCCGTTGTATCACTACCACAGGGGACGACAACAGGCCATCCAGACAATCGGTCGGCAATGACGAGGAAGGACGTCCCTGCCACTGCAAAGAAGTCGGCCGACACAGACTCGAAGGGTCTTGAAGGGTTATCGTCGAAAATTAAAGGTTCCTGTTGCTGGCTGGGTTGCAGAATCTGGCACGGCTCACAGGCACGGACGGTACTTGCAATGTCCGCGTCGATTCCGGGCCAAAATACAGTCTGCTTCACCCGTCGCTTGGTGGCCTCCACTCCTCGATGGCTGTCGTGAAGGCGGGTCAAGGTACGGCGGCGTAGGGTAGCAGGAATGACTACTCGTGGACCATACAAGACGAGGTCTCCGTCACAATAGAGGTCCTTGCGTATCTTCCAGTACGGGAGTAGCGATTCATGAAGGTCGTATCGGTTAAATGGAAATCCCTGGGACACACAGTCGACGAGCCGGATGTAGGAAGGGTTGGCCTGGGCTGCGGTGCGGAGACCTTCAAGGGTCTTGTCTGCATCCGGTGCTGTAGACTCTTCTGATGTGAAGACGGCCTTCAATGAGACTACTGACTTGAGGGATGCGACAGCTGTAGAACACAACATCTCGTCCTCTGGGGTGGGGCGACTGACAGGGGCACGGGACAGGGCATCCGGGATGCACAGCAGCTTACCCGCACGCCACACAGCTGTGAAGAGATAAGGCGAGAGCTTCTCTTTCAAACGTTGAAGGCGAGGATTCTCTACTGCATCCAAAGAGTAGTGATTGATAATAGGTACAAGAGGGCGATGATCCGTGAAGAGGGTGAAGTGCTGAAGTCCTATCAGGTAGAAGCGGCATTTCGCCATCGCCCAGACAACAGCCAACATCTCCAGCTCAATCGTGGCATATCGGGTCTCGGCGTCCATCAAGAACCGGGATCCACACTGAATTAAGCGGAGTTGTCCATCGCCATGGTCCTGCAGAAGGGCGTAACCAACGCCGTAGAGTCTGGAGGAGTCAGTCTGGAGGACGGTGGGTAGGGCTGGGTCGTAACAAGCGAGGACAGGTGGACTTAAGAGGGCCTGCTTGACTCGCTGGAAGGCCTCTTGATGATCTGGGGTCCACAGGAATGTCCTCCTGGGGCTCAGCAGGGGGCGTAACGGCTGGGCTGCGGCGGAGATGTCAGGTGAAATTCAGCCAGCTGATTGACCAGACCCAAAAAAGAACGGAAGTCTGTCAGGTTGGCAGAGGTTGGAAAATCCCTGATTCCACTTAATTTCTCCGGGTCAGCTGCGATACCTGATGCTGAGAGAGTGTACCCAAAGAAGTTCACTGATGGGGCGGCGACTACAAACTTGTCAGCGTTGAGGGTAATCCCGTACATTCGACATCTGGTGAGAACTTCATATATTCGGGAGAGGTGGGCACAGTAGTCTTCGTCATGGAGTAAAATATCATCAACCACCTTGACACAATTCGTGACTCCTTGGAGGGCCGCGTCACCACGTTGACAGAATGCATTGCCCGTAGCGGCAAATCCCATGGGGCCTCTGCAATACTGATATCTTCCATATGGTGTGATGAATGTAGTCAAATGCTGGTCTTCTTCGGCCAACTCGATCTGCCAATAACGACATAAGGCGTCCATCTTTGTAAAAAACTTCGCTTTCGGGTCCACATTTCGAACAGCTGCGAAGGGTGTGGGTGAAGGGTGGGCTGGACAGGAAACTTGCTGGTTAAGTTTTGACAGATCGGTGGTGATCCGTACTCCACCACGAGGTTTGGCGACGGGGACGAGAGGGTGGAACCAAGGTGAAGGTTCGTCTCCGGCCGGCTTGATGATTCCCTGAGCAACCATGGAGTCAAGCTCTTGTCTAACTAGCTCCTTGTAGGCGTGAGGAATCAAACGAGGGGTGTGGATGGTAAAAGGTGTGGCACCATCCTTAAGATGAATCTTCAGAGGTGGACCCACCATCGGCTTGAGTGGTGTGGATCCCAAAGATTTCTTCATAACCAACACGTCAGCAAACTCCTTGAGAAGGTAAGCTCTTGCATCAGAAGGGGACGTATTAGTAGAGATAGGGAGTTCCTTCAACCTGTTGACATGGGTGACCTTTAAAATAGGTTTGGGGAATTCCTTGGAAATAATGGCCAACTCTTGACAATGGCCATATGATAAAAGCGGAGTCGGGATCCCATCATGAACATCAATCCGGGCTGAGCAAGACTGCTTACCAAAGGTAAGAGTAGCCCAGAAAGATCCCAAAGCTGGAGCCATCTTGGAACCATCAGCTGTCAGTTTCGTTGTCTGAGGAGGGGGCTATAGGTTGCTCCGGGGTATTCCCAAACTTGCTAAGTGTTGTGGACCAATTACTGAGACGTCAGCACCGGTGTCAGGTAACATCTGAAGACGGGATGACAAGTTACCGTGAGAAATGATGACACTGATGTGCTGGCGCGTCGTGTCTGTGGAACAATGTACACGACGGCAGGAACGACTGGACACAGCGTCTTGATGCTTGCCAGGAGGGGGCATGCCAGCACTACCTGAGGATGACTTCTTGGATCCTAGGTGGTGTCCTTTCTGTGTCTTCTTTCGACAACATTTGTCATAATGGCCCACACGACCACAAAGTCTGCACTGAACTTTGCTAGCAGGGCACTTGACTGTGTAAGCCCAGTGACCCTGGCGGTCGCAACTTATGCACACGCTTTGAGCAGCTGGGCACTGGGAGGCATTGTGCTGTGTCGCACAGCTGTTACACAAAGCTGCTGCTGAAGGTGTAGCTGGAGGGTGAGGGGTGGGGCTACCTTGCTGCTTCTTACCCTTTCTGTAGGAAGACACCGCCCTCACCTGGTCAGGTTGTGAACGTAAAGCTGAAGTCGCACACCTGGCGGCCTCGTACGCTCGACATTTTGTAACTACATCTTGAAGGGAGGAAGTGGGGTCAAGTGAAATGAGACGCTGAACTAGCTCTTCATCTCGAATACCCGTTAAAATGATTGTCTTGAGTAGTGTCTCTTCACAAACTTGAGAATTTCCAGGACAAACATCAACATCCTCTGAACATCTTTTCAGTCTTACAAAAAATGCATCAAAAGATTCTCCATCAAGCTGCTTACATTGGAGGAGTTCTCTTCTTCTGAGTGCTTCGTTGCGCTGTCCCTTAACATGTTCCTGTAACTTGTCAAGCACGGCCTCTACAGTCAGAGTTGTCGTAGGAGGCACTTGAAGTGTGTGCTCGAGAGTACGTTGTGTCTCTAAGGACAAGTACATACGAAGCTGTATCATCTGTTTAGGCTGTGGTAAACTTGACAGGTCAACCATTGTTGCATAGTCTTGCCAACGTCGAAGCCATTCCCGAAATATCTGATAAGAAGCGTCAGACTTCAGAGAGGGAGGCGTTTGTGCTGCAGCCTTTTGAGGAATTGTTGAACCGACTCTGGGAAATGAGGTACCAGTACCTCTAGTCGTATCAGCATTAGTAGTAGCAGAAGAATATTGTAGAGTATATCGTTGTGGGGAGGCTAACAGGGAAATCAAGGCTTCAAATCTGGCTTGATCCTCTCTTCTTCTCAGGTCATCCTCACTTCTATGTATATCTTCTAGTTCTCTGCGTCTTTGTTCATCTTCGTGGCGTCGTGTTTCAGACTCTCTGTACCGAATTTCTTCCTCTTCTCTCCTTGCAACATAGTCCTGGCGTCGAGAAGTTTCCATCCACTTAATCAGTTGAAGGAGATCTTTGGACGCAGGCTCCGCAGGATAGCTTGCTCGCGATGAACGAGGAGATTCTGTGGGTGATTGGGCGTTGTCACTGTGGGGAGCGTGGGGCCTGAGTGTGGGTGGGGAGAGGTCTCCCAAACTTAAACTCATAACCCCATCGTCCAGGGTATCTTTTTGATCCCTGTGAGACATGCCGACAGCTTCTGTACTCTATCTGTGCAGGAGACCAGATCAACCCCTCGTAATCTATGCACAGAATTACAGAAGTCTAAAGTAATACACAAGAATTTAATATAAAGTGGGCCTGTGAGTGAGTGTGTGTGTGTGTGTGTGTGTGGCTCGTTGCCGAGAGGCTTGGCGCGCTGCTAGACTTAGAGGCAGCTGGGCGCAAGTCACAACTGAACCGAAGTTGTCTTAATGCACTCTGCGCAGTTACCCAATGCAGTCATCTGGCTGCAGTTTGCACAGACAATTCGGATTAAAATACACAACACAGCACTTCACAGAACACTTCACTTCACAGCACAGCACTTACACAGCATAGCACTTCACAACACTGTAAGTCCTGAGGCTTGTAGTCTGGCTGTAAATCCTTGATGAAGCTGAAGACGAGACGCCATTAACACAGTCCGGCGGGAAGGCTAAGTTCACTCTGAATCTCACTGAGAAATCTCACTGCGCCATCTATATTTGTCTTTGATACCCCCAAAATGTTCTACACTACTGAGGGTATACACAAACACTTGTTATCTTGAAAATAGGTTCTTATTCTCGTACGGGAGATATACAGAGGAACTAATAGACAGAGGGCTTCCACACCATAAGGACGAGCGGTCTCAACTCTCTGTATCACTCCGCGCTGGCATGCACAGATGCCAGCATTCACAAGCTGAATACATAATATGTAAATATAATAATTCACATACATAACATGGTGCATAATAAATGGAAATATTACATAGGATTAATACATGTTCTGTAATACTTTACTATACATAATTAATAGAGTAATATAAGAATACACAGCTTAAGGTACTACTTCGTGTCCATATTATACAATAATGATGCACTGTTGTTTATTATTCCATAAAAACACACACACGCCACAAACATATGCGATACAGCACCACTCCACACACAACAATATGGTACCAATAACCTAAGATCTCAACATAACTAGCACTTCCATAAACAACAATAACTAGGAAAAACATCTTGTTCATACCTATATTGATGGAGATGTTGATACTCTTCATGATATCAGCCGTAATGTCGAATGAGAGGATACAGAAAGCCAAAAAGGAAAAGAGGCCCGTGTAGGAATGTTTACACTTCACCTTCGAGTAGTACATGGGGTCGTGATCGTACTTGTATTGATCATGACCGTGCCGTCGAGACAAATGGTGGTGATTATTGCCTCTGTCTGTAAGATACTCGTCAGATGAGTGGAGGTCATCAACGTCCTGTGTGGTAGGTCCTGGCGGTTGGATCACACCTGGGGGATAGACATATATGTCGAGCACAATATGTTTAAGTTTTATTTAGAGTGTATGTGCATGCTTGTTACAAGTATGTATGTGTATACAGTATCGGCATTTCATTACTACTGCTGTGTCAGCACAATCTGGATAAACTTACCTGGGTCCAGTGTGTTGTAACTCCCGCTGGTGGTGTTGGTGTAGTTATGTTCCAAGATACCAAGAAGCTGAAGGCTCCTGTAGGTAAGGTGCGGCGTTGCCATAAGTAGTTGCTTCCCCAGCTGGAGAGTGAGACGGGGATCTGGAGAGAAGTCCTGACAGCTCGGCATGCCAGAACCCTCCACGTACTCTTGGCTGCCAGAGTCACTGTCTTCGTCGCCACCTTTATTCACGTCTGCATTATTAACTTCCATTTCCCAGTAATTATTAAGGCCTTCATATTCCTCATAAAATTCGGAGCTGGAATTCTGGTGAAAAGGAGATGGAAAGGTACCTACAAACAGGTTTGGGGAATCCGTCAACAGAATCAATCCAATAGAGAACTCGGAGAACTGACGAAGCAACAGATAAAAGTTGCCATTCATGTTTCAGCACTGCTTCAGGCTCGTACAGACAAAGAACTGGGGATATGGTGCTCTCTCTACCAGTGAAGATCACATTAAGGGAGCTGTGTACATTGTGTTACGTCACTTGTAAACATAACAGGCGAACGTACACACTAGGCTGATGGTTAGCTCGTCAAAACCGTAATGTCAATATCAGTGACGAACGTGCTGGTTCATGTTTATTGATATGCACACAAAAAGAGAAAACGGGAAAGTCAATAGGTAGAGAGTAGATATGTCTCTTGTTACTGACAACAATGGGAATGGGTTGGTTGTTCACATTGTTATTGATGTGAATTATATCCTACACTTGAAGATAGGTGAGTAAACTTAGCCTGAAATGATTGAAATCATATGTCAAGTCATTGAACCTCATCACCGAGGCCATGAGGCTACGGACACACCTGACTCATCGTTTACCACCTGTTATATGGCTGATGGCTCTGTTGACTACGACCAAGAGCATAGTGGTGAGCCTGTAGGTACCGCTATATGTGGCCAGCCAGCCGAACAGTGGGGTGAAAAAACGGGGAGAAGTACAGTATGAGTCCATGATGTCCATCCTACCTCCACCAGTGTACACACGTACGGAGAAGCACTGCCACACTCAGTCACTCACCCCTCACCAGCCTCGCCACCCGCTATAGAAGAGGAAAGGACGATTTAATATTAGTTTATAAGTACCCCAAAGGACATTGCTCAGTCAAATGCACACGCCCAGGTACATTCAAGCGCCAGTGCATGCTCGGTACAGTACAGTACCTGCTAAGAGTGTGTAACAAAGTACTGACCAACCGCTCGATCGGCTAGGAAGCTGACATGTGGCGAACAGGGTAAAGAAAGTAAGTCAACCAATCAGAAATCGGTGTAACACGTGTGAGACTATCAACATATTTCTGTGCCCAACGTCACCTGAACCTGAACGTATCTTACGTACTCGTAGTAGGAAGTTGGGTAAGATTGGACCAAATTTATCATGTTGTTTTGGTGTGACTCAGTGGTAATTATCATATCAAGCTACAGTACAGTACATAATTTCTACTGTGTACACTACAATTCTAGTTTTAGGTGAATTTGTGTTATCTGGAAATATTCCCTACTTAATAGTATATGAACGTGTGAGAAAATAATAATAATGATAATAATTAACGGTTTATTGAAAAAGCATGGCAGCCGGAAGGCTGAAAATATACAGTTACAATTATTGGGGAATGGGTCTCTTGATTTACAAATAATATACAAGTAACATAAGTGATACAAATATGATATATAATAACTAGGTGGGGAGAAGCTCAAAATACAGGGCATTTCAACATAGTGACATTGCAAAAAGTAAGATTGACTGGGGGTGAATACACTGGTTGATTACAAGTTATTGATAATTTTTACAGTGGTTGGGACTGGGCTGTTCTTATAGCGATCAGTTCGTGATCGTATGGGCTGGATGCGGTTGTGGTGTTGAACAGCAATACTCGGGCGAGGGATCTCAAGTGGTAGTAGGAGCCGGTGTCGAGGATGGTGCAGAAGCTTCTCACCAAATTTGCAGATGAGGTCGTGGTGATGGTCAGTGAGAGCCGAGAGGGTCAGTGTGTTGAGCACTTCTTGATATGTGGAGGGGAGAGAATAATCTTGCATGCTCTCTTTTGCACTTTTTCTAGGTGTTTACGTTGTGTGGCATTTATGGAGGAAGACCAGGTAGGGGAGGCATAGGTGATCTTGGGAAGGATGAATGTTGAGTAAACACTGAGGAGCCCGGGTGCAGGAACTCCGAGGGACTTGAGTCGGAGGAGGAGGTGGAGGCGGAAACTGGAGGATTTGACAACTTCACTGACGTGTGGTTTCCAATTTAGTTTGTTGTCTATGGTGACGCCGAGGAGCTTAGTGGAAACTACAACCTGTTGTGTGTTGGGACCTAAAGTAATGGAGGGGGGTGGGGCAACGTCGGAGGAGAGGTTGATGTGCATAACCATGGTCTTGGTATGGTTGATGGTGACGTGGTTGTTGGTGGCCCAGTTTTGGAGACTTCAATAAATCCTGAAGGGCGGTATAGTCGGGAGCAGAACTGTTGACCTCTGATCCCAATGGTGGAGTCGTCGACATATTTCCAGCGAGCAGGGGCTTCTCTTAGGGCATCATTGATAAGCATAAGGAAGCATAGTGGTCCCATCTTGGTGCCTTGGGGGACGCCACAGGTGAGTGACTGAAAGGTGGAGACAGCCCCTCGGAAGCGTACAGCTTGGTGTCGTTTACTGTGAATACGTACACGTGCATACATGTATGTGCCTACACATGCTCATTTGTGTATCTATACATATTTATACATACATACAAGCGCACGTGCGTATGCACATGCAAGTATACAAACATTTGCAAAAAATTATGAATCCCATAATTTCATGATTTATATCTTCACTAATATAATGTAAGTATAGAAATATCATAATTTACGGATCATTCCAGGTGAGTTGTGATGACTTCAACCGTTGACGGTGACCATGACGCTATACCTCCTCCAGTTGCTGCTGCTGCTGCTACACCTGGTAGCCTCCCGCACCCTGCATCACCACCCTACTCCTGGTCACACTTTCACCACAACTATATCTGATAATTTTGAACATTTTACTGCCACTGGCAGTGATAATTACACCTCCCTAACGGATAGCCGTCCAGCCCTTAACTTGGAACTTATGTCTACAGTACAAGCCATGTCGTCCACCAAAGGATATGTAGAAAGCACGAGGAAGCATTTGTCGTCTAACCAACGCCAGGGAAAATCATTCAGGGACCTCAGTAACCTATTTACTGAATCAAACTCCGGAAGCCATGCAGTGATCCCTGACCTGTGTACAAACAAGCGGATGGTTTTAGAAAATTTTGAGACAAAAGTCAAACGTTTGTTGGACAAGGCTTTTGCATTTAATTCGGATGGTAAAATTTTATACAATTCATATAGTGTTTACCTACCACCCAAGATCCTCCCAACTGAAGAGGTGCATCAGAACAAGAACATACCACAAGAGCGTACTGGTATGAACCATCACCCTACTCATACCTTCCTTGACTCAGACAAACATGAACGAGTAAAACCTTACATGCAGTATGAACAAATGGATTTATCGGACCATAAAATGTTAACAGACTTCATTCTACGGGGTTCGAGTCCCACAACAGAACAAAGGCCTGCTGCCCCTGAGGCGTGGTTTTCACGTCCTTGGTGGGCCCAGCCCTCCAACACTCCACATTCTCGGGTTCCCCGTGATGGCTGTGGGGGATCTTTTATTGCTTTCCCTTTCTTGGTGTTTCTAATTGGTACCTTTTCCTCCTTCGTCAGCATCATCAATATCAGTAACAATAATAATAACAATAATAATAACAACAACAATAATAACAATAACAATAATAACGACAATGGGAGAAGTTTATCGAAAAATGAAAAATGGTTGTCATTCAGCCACTTCATTGAAGGTAATGTTACAAGCAAACCGGAGCCATCTGAAATGCGCACGTTACTGGTGACCCCTGCTGACCAAACGACGTTCTCTACAACTGCAACTGACCACACGCACCCTTCTCAGCGTAATCCAAGATCATTCAACGACAACATGGCACTTGATGTGCATGGACTTGGTGAAAAGTTAAAAAATGCTTGCCAATTTCTTCGCTCTTCGGCCAAAATGATGTGGGGTAGTCTTAACAGTTCTCTCGACCACAACACACAGAGTTACTTGTACGTCTTATTAGAAGATACTACCTAGAGTTGTGTACTGATTACCTAAACTTCAGTTTAAAAACGTTTATCATCATGTGTAGACTACTAAGTGTACAGTATTAACATTTGGATTTTATAATATACAGTATTCTCAATGCAATATCACGTAAAAGTGTACTAAATTATATAATGGAAAGGTCTACCAGTCCAACTTTGGAATCAGAATGAATGTAGGACATTTGGGTCACGGGACGTTTCGTTTGGGTCAGGGTGGTTAGGACCTAATATAACTTAACATAATATAACATAACCTAAATGTGGCCCATACGTCCGCTAACCCCTAAAAATAGCCCATAGAGCAGTGGTTCTCAACCTTGTTTGCCCCATGCACCCCTTTCACCATATGTCAGAATGTCATTTCCCCCTCCTTTCCAAGATTGTCTGCCTCAAAAAGTGAATTCCAAATAATATGCATATAATACTGAAAATCCTTTATTTTTTCCATATTAGTATCAGTTTCCCCTGAAAACCTGAGGGGGGAAATTCCCCCCTGGTTGAGACCCCCTGCCATAGAGGGACCCTACACAGGCCACTGGCCTCCTTCCCTTGGCATGGTCATCTCCAGTGGGTGGCGAACTGGCGATTAGGTAAATAATATAAGTATGTACTCTTTGTTGTCTATAGCCCGATGCACATGCATTGTCTATATGCATGCTAAAGCAACTGTAAACTTTTAAGACTTCATTGAATAAATATTATTATTATACCAAAATTTCAACACGCCAACATCGGTTAGCCTCTGTTCATTAGATAACCCTCGATGGTAGTAAACACTCCCAGCAGTTGTTGGTGTCGATGGAGTTGTTCGCTGATGGTGTTTACTACCATAACAAATGATTATACTTGGGAATGTATTGTGTAAATTATTCTTATACCAAAAGTAAATAAATTATAAAATAAACAATAATAAGTTTGGTAAAGAACCAAACTGGGAATAGTGGCCTAACGGTGTACTGATATTAAGATAATAGTTGACGATTAAGGTTAATAATCCCTTGCCTTTTGTATAGCAGCCTAATAGATCACGCCGGCTTATGTGTTTAGCGAAAAGTAATAATCCCCTGAACAAATTAAGTAAAGTGTTTAGAGGCTGCAAATTTACAAGTTTAAATACAAAGACAGGTAACATTACTCCTACATCTAGCGTATAGTGAACGATAAATCAGTTATGGAGAAATTACGCAAACTAACAAAAGTATTGGTGGAAAGAAGAGTCTCACCTATAACTTGCTATCATCGGTTTATATTTAGCAAAACGGGGATATGGCCACATTGTGTAAGTCAAATGTTGCCACTAAACACTCTTGGGAATTGTATAGTTGCAATCAATTATTTTGACAATTGTAAGACACTTCATTGCCATTTATGAGGTAAAATTTCACTTGTTGCCACCCAGAGAATTTTGAGAATTTTATGGGAGCAATCAATAGTTAAACCAATTCTAAGACACTTTTCTTCTATGATGTTTCCCCTGCAACGACCCACATTATCTGGGGGGTTCTAAGCCGGTTAGGTTAGGTCGTTTGTAAATCTAGAAATTTGCTATAAAAATCAAGGTAAAGTGTTTGAAACATTAAAAAACCAACAGAATTTTTTTTTTATCTAACCTAACCTAACCTAACCTGGGGCTCCATAATCGTTCGATGTTCTGGGTGTGTGCTGCCACATATGTACATAATAAAATGTTAATTATCTCGCTTATATATTATTAGTGCCAGAATTACAATATAAGAAAAATTTCTTAGAATTGTCAAAGTTACCGATTGCAATCACGAGATTCGTTTAGTGGCAACAAGGGAAAGGTAAATTTTTATACATAATAAAATGTTAAAAATCTCCTCTTATACATAATTTGCACCATAAATGAGATTATTTTACTTGTTGCCACTAAACAATCTCGGGAATTTTATAGTTGCAGTCAGTAATTTTGACAATTCTATGAAACTTTAAATCAATGGCAAATGTGCAACCAAAGAATCTGATAAAAAAATGTTACCTAACTTAAACCTAACCTAACCTAATGTAATATAAGAAAATGATCATAGAAAAATAGTTCTATTGATTGAGTGTAGTGAATTTCTGGAATTCTGTGGTTGCTGTTTGCTGCAATATTACCAAAATTACATATAAGCGAGATATTTTATTATGTATGAAAATTTACCTTTTACTTGTTGCCACTAAACGAATCTCGTGAATTTTATACTTGTAGTTGCAATCGACAATTTTTGACAATTCTAAGACACTTTTCTTCAATAGCCTTTCTGGCACTATTTACATATAAGCGAAATATTTAAAATTTTATGATATGTGTTCATACATAGCACTACACACCCACTACATTGAATGACTGTGGAGCCCTCCTGTTATGTTAGGTTAGATTCAAAACGATTTTTCCAATAATTTTAGTTGTGCTTTGAACACTTTTTACCTTGATTTTTAAAACAAATTTCTAGATTTGAGCCAGAAATAAAAGTCAAATTCGTTCATAACACATCAAAAACCACCGGAAAAACAGTTTCAACTTCGATTTCAAATAATGGCAACAAGTGAAAATTTACCTCAATGAGACCTGCCCTGTCCAAAGGGTTGTTAGTACTTAATGAGGTTACATAGCCTTATTTATGGATGAAGCTACTGTACTGGTATACTGTATATACTAATACAAAAATATCCAGATCTTCTTATGATCTCATGAAAATAATTGGTATTATCCTAGCAGACACACAATGCCCTTTCAAGGTAGAGTCAGTATTGAAATTACTGTATATTAGACTTAATTTTAGCACTGGTTTAACATTGAAATAACTTAAAGTACCCACTGTGATAGCAGCTTGCAGCCTAGTAGCTGCACAACATACAATAGAGCTTTGTACGTATAGTACTTCATAATTGAACATGACATCTTATTAATCTGCCTTGTGTTTCTCCAGTCTATTACAATTATTTAATCTTTCAGGAAAAAGAATTACCAACTGAAATTAAGAAAGAGGTTGAGGTCTTCTGGAAACATAAATTTGAAACCCTTTCCCAAGGATTAGTTGAACCTGGGTAAGTGTTCATTTACGGTAATCATATATAGGGGGTCCCTGGGTTACGAATGAGTTCCGTTCCTGAGGACGTTCTTAAGTTGGAAATGTAAATAAGTCGAAACACATACCTAGTACCCAATGTGCACTATATCATAGTCTAAGTCCTTTTATATATCTTGAATCACTTCATTTAAGAGAGAAGAAATTGAATGATAAAAATACAGTAAAGGAAACTAAAAATTAAAGCTTAACACTTACATTGAAACCTGAGGCTGGCTTGCATGTAGAGATCAGCATTTGTAGGAGTGACAGAGACTTTATTGGAATGGTTGAACTGAAATGTTCTTCTTTTTGTCATAAATCTCTTTGTAGTATCGTAGCTATTCAGTAATACTTCTATGAATCTTGGTGAATTTTGCTGTGTTGGGATCTTGCTGTTTAAATTTAAACAATCATTCTCCAATAAGCCTGAAACCATCTGCCATTTCTTTTGTAATTAATCCCTTTAGTTCCGGAGTTTCAGTTTCCTCTACATCCTCTGACACAAAATTTGCTTCTCCAGTTTGATCAGCTCCTTATTGCTTAATTCTTCAGTATGAGACTCAAGCAACTGTGTGACTTCATCCTCATGAATATCAAGCTGGAGTTGGTTCCCAAGGTCTACCACTGGCTGTGTCATTTCCCCAACATCATTTTCAGAGCCCTTGAAATCGTGGACAAACTGTGGGCAGTGTTTTTTCCAAACATCATTTGGCCTTACCTTGAACCGATTACACCAGCCCCTACTAGCAACAAAATCTTCCCCATCACTTTCACCATCACACTTAGCCTTCAAGTCAGCATGCAAGCTTCTCGCTTTTTCCTGAATCAAGACTAGACTTAGAGGCAAATCCTGTTGATTTTGATCTTCCACCCATATCACTAACAATCTTTCCATTTCAAGTAACAATCCACTTCTTTGTTTTCTTATCACAGCTGAGTGCATTGGTTTTGACCGACTGAACAACCGACCCACTGAAGCACAACATTTTCCCAATGACTGAGGGTGTTTTGCCTTTTTTCAGAATGTTTAATTACATCAACTTTCACTTCCATTATAACTGTTATCCTTTTCTTGGATGCACTACTATCAGTTGCATTAGATTTGCATTTGGGAGCCATGATGAGAGCAAAAATAGTTAGTCAATAAGCAAAAAACACCATTTGCACTTGATCACACGTTAATGTGGTGAGGGTAAAGCGTACTGACTCTCCCTTAAGACGCCGTGGCTGGGTGATGCACTACTCCCCACGCGCCGCTCTGCCTCGCCACTACTCCACGCAAACTAGTTCTTGTACGTTAATTTCCCATACTACGAACCAGTTGTACCTATGTCGGATTCTTAAAATAATTGACCTCATGGGACCTTGTTCGAATCGGCACGTGTTCGAAAGTCAGACGTTCGTAAGTTGGGGACCCCCGGTATACTGTAAAGTATTGTACTGTAGTATAATGTATAAAGTTATTCCTATACAGTATGTCTTAAACATCAGTTGCATTTTAAAGCTTAATGAGAAGTATGTGAGAATCTAACTGCCAACCTAGGTGGGCTGGGTTCAAATCATAACATGCACAGGTGAAAATTTTTTCCTAAATAAGATTAGCCCTATTTAACATGATGCACACTCATATTCTGTACAGTACGTCTTACCTTAATTTATGGCACTTGACTTGAAATGGAGCAGAACACCCTATATATATATATATATATATATATATATATATATATATATATATATATATATATATATATATATATATATATATATATATATATATATATATATATATATATATATACAGTATATATATATATAAAAGAATAAATTGACATTGCAACTGGGGGCCACCACACAGGAAGATTAAGAAATACAGTAGTGAAGAGGCTGAGGTGTAATAATTGTATGCCAATCTAAGCAAGTCAAGAGAATTTTACTGTAAATCATAAAATCGTGATGAAAATAATCCCTGTACAGTAGAGGCAGGAAAGAGGATGCTAATTGATTGAGGACATTCAAAGGTGGACCACGAAAGAGAAATTAAAACATCTTTAATTGCCTGGTTTATACTATAGACGGACGTGGGGTGATTTAAAACTAGTTTATAAGTACTGTACCTAAAAGAACATTTCTCAGTTACATGTACTACATATCTGGGTTAGTGGATGGATACCCCACAATAGATCACAGCCTCAAGTTTGAGAAGCTATCAGTACAAAAAATAGAGCTAACTTCTTTGGGGTAAAGAGTTTTGAGCTGTTGGAATAACCTACTAGAATGTTTAGGTACTTTCAAAAGCCTGTGCAAATTCAGCACTTGCCAACAGTGCATAACAGAGAACAGACTCACCACCTGACTGGCAAAGATGTAAGGCAAGAAAAAGAAAAAATATTGTAGTCTGAAAGGAGAATTGAAATATTTTATTGTGATTACTATACAGTGGTCCCTCGGTTAACGAACTCAATCCGTTCCAGCAGGTTGTTCGTTAACCGAAAAGTTCGTTAACCGAAACCATTGTTTCAATGGGTTTTTGGGTAATTGGTTCCAGCTCACCGAAAATTTCCTAAATTCAACAAAAATGGTAGAAAAGTTCACTTACCTTGAGGTGTGTATGTAGAAGGCTCCTGGATGATGATGATGATGATGATAATGGGAATTAGAATGGGGGTGGAGGAGAAGGAAGAAGAGAAGGCATTGGGGTGGAAGAGAAGTCACCCCATGGCACCATTTCACCCATAAAATTTTAGTTCTCTTGGTGTATTTCAAGATTATTTTCTTTAAATCAACACTGCACTGCATTATATATTGTCAATATGTAAAATATATTTCAAAATGACCAATAATTTGCTTGGAAACACAGAAAAAAAGCGTTTAGTTGAAGAGAATCTCAAGCAAGATGTTACCTCCAGTGAAAACAGAGAGAGACTAACGCCTGTTTGCTGTGTTAACAGGCTGGATGCCGCGCATTAAACTAGTCACTTTACCTTCAATTATGTTCAATAATTGTTAAAATGACTAAAAAATTGAACATTAAACTTTTAAAATTATTGAATAGTATAAACTTCTTGATATTTACTAAAATAGTAAGGAATTTAAGCCCTAGAACCGATTAATGTATTGGCGGACTGATACTAAAGCTGGTTGCCCGGCCAGTGCAAGCGAAAACATGTTGAGGTCGGTTTGTAAGAAATTCGTTAACCGAATTTTTTTTTGTTAACCGAATTGAAGATTCTTATGGAAGGCAGTTCGTTAACCGAAATTTCGTTAACCGAGGCGTTCGTAAACCGAGGGATCACTGTACTGTACTTCAGGGTTTGAATTACAGTATTAAATATAAAACTACAATTTTCTAAGAAATATGTACTATGAGTAATATAAGTTTGAAAGTACAGAACATTTGAATTGTTATTGTACAGTGTAATATATTTTTAGTGAGGCTGAGAGTGGCAGCGAAAAGAAGTATGTTCTCTCAATGTTTCCATATCCATCGGGAAAGTTACACATGGGCCATGTCAGAGTCTACACCACTAGTGATTGTATGGCCAGGTTCTACCGCCTCAGAGGATACAAGGTAGGTATTTCCACGTCTTGTCACTACAATATATATTTATACCCTAGCTTAGCAGTTTTAGACTAGAAAAATACATTGTCTAAATAGAGCTTTTCCTGTTTGTTTTACCCTGATCATAGATGTGTTTGGGAGAGCTGGCACTTTCAGCAATAAAATGTACAGAGTAATGCCAGATACAGTATATACAGGAAAACTCCTCTCAAGCCAAAATATCACATTTAGTGTCTCCCAACTTATGCTGAACCAATTAATGCTCTTTTGTTGTGATAATTGTGCCATAGAATATACTACTTTGTTTATATTGTTGTAGCATTTGATTCAAAGGGACAATATTATTTAATTATAATTATTAGTGGTCTACTGTTATTAAATACAGTACAGGTACACCACGATTACCTGGGAACTCCTTTAGTCCGGACAAAATTATGAAGGGCGCTTAACTTCCCTCCCTCCCTCCCAGCCTGAGTGAAGCTAGTTTTAGGCTTAAAGTTTTTATCTTATAAAATGTAGCTGACTAGACATAGCAGAATATAAATTGCATTGCTGGAATCCTTGTAAGATAGTGATTAATTTGAGTATAAATATCACATAGTTTGCACAAGAGATAGAAATTTTAGTCTTGTGTAGTACATTTGTGTACTGTACAAGTTTTTTAACTCATATTTTCTGGAAGATATATGTAACTTTCTTCATTTAATTTTTAATCATTTACATGCACACACCATCCTAATTATATATTGTGAAGAGGTAAAAGAAATAATTGTCCTTAGGGTAAACCTGTAATAAGTTAATTACTAAAAAATTTATGTCCAGAGCAAACTACAGTATTACCCCGCTTTACGCAGTTTCACTTTCCGCGATTTCTCATTTACGCGGTGCCTTGCCAGAACCGAACTTTCACTTTCCGCGGTGCATCTACCCATATACGCGCAGAGTGTCTGGCTCGACGCTATTTTTAGATTCAACCCTCCCGCCTGCTCCCGCCTGGGCAAGCCACGCGGTAAGGTTGCACAGTGCATGTCTCTGTTGCGTTATCAGTGACGTCATATGACGTATCGGACTGTGATTGGCCATGCATCCTTACCTCCCTCCGCTGCTAGCTGTGATTGGTTTAAAGTAATATGACGTGTCCACCCGCGGGAGGGAGGGAAGAAAGACGACGCTCGACCTAACCACGGCAGTTTCATCCCTCCAGGCCACACCGTGTATACGTGCATCCATTGTTCTGTGAAATGGCTTCCGCCGGACCACCGCCACCAGAGAGAAACCTTTCCTTACCTGGACCCAGCCGCCCTAAGCCAAAGAAGATACGACGTTCCCTAAGCTACGAAGTGAAATACCAGATAATTCAAGATTTGGAGAAAGGAACACGTCAAGCTGATCTCGCGCGTCAGCATGGAGTCAACGAATCTACGATTCGTACTATTAAGAAGGATGCAGCCAAGATCAAAGAGCACATGAGAATCACAAAGTCTGCAGGTGCTTCAATGATCAAGTATTGCCAGAACAAGGTGCTGCTAAAGGTGGAAAATTTGCTGGTGAGTTACTTGATTCGTCAGGCGCGACGCAACATGGCGGTGGACACGCGATCCGTTCAAGAGTACGCACGTGAACTGTACGCAGCAGTGTCACGTAAGACTGGAATTGCAGAGCACAAACCCTTCAATGCTTCCTCTGGTTGGCTGCATAGATTTAAGAAGAGGAACAATATCACCAACATCAACATTGGTGGTAAAGAAGCGAGTGCTGACCGTGTGGCGGCTAGAGATTTTCCTCCGTTCTTACATGAGGTTATGGAGGAAGGGCAGTACACTGATGACCAGGTGTTCAACATGGACGAATCCGGCCTATTTTGGAAAAAAACTGCCTACCAAGACCTTAGTTGTCCAGTCTGCCAGCAAGATTCGGGGTCGGAAGTTGCAGAAGGAGCGCATCACTGTCCTCTTTACCACCAATGCCTCCGGTACCTGTAAACCAAAGTTATCGGTGATTCACACAGCCCGCAAGCCTACAAGAACGTGGACATGAGCAAGATTAATGTCCACTGGCTGACCGCACGCAAGGCGTGGATATTCTCTGCTCTGTCACTCTCCTGGTTTGATGACTGTTTCATTCCCGACGTGAAGAAATTCTGCGAGCAACAAAATGTTCCATTCAAGATTTTGTTGCTCCTTGACAATGCACCAGGACACTCGCCCCTACTTATGGATCGTCACCCCAACGTAAAAGTGGTCTTCCTTCCTCCCAACACTACGTCATTAATCCAGCCCATGGACCAGGAGTTGATCTGCAATGTAAAAGTTGCATACGCGGCAAAGAAATTCAAGCTCCTGAACGACTGTACCAACACCAAGGATGAGTTGCGTAAGCTGGGTGACACCGATAGCGAGAGCAAAAGCGACGAGGACAAGGAACAAGAGGTGGTGACTCAAGAAGTTCTCGTCAAACAGTTTTGGAAAAAATTTAACGTCAAACAAGCTGTAGACTTCTTGGTGGAGGCATGGGATCAGCTGTCTATAGCTATGATTCATCACGCATGGAGGCATGTGTTGCATGGTATACCAGGTGAGAGGCAAGGTCAACCTGTGACTGGTGAGGTTCAGTCTGTGACAGTGGCATTGGACCTTGCAAGAGAAGCTGCGCACAGTATTACAGCTGAAGCTTCTCCGAGACCACCAACGAAGACATCCTGGAGGTGATCAGAGATCCTGAAATGACTGCCGACGAGATGTTGGAAGATGATAACGTCAGTGTAGAGGAAGGTGGTGCGTCAATCCCAGAAGAACACAAATTAACGCCTAGTAATATTAAGGGTGCCATCGAGTGTGCAGAGAAATTAAAGCTCTTCCTTTCTAATGACCCTGACGATGACCGCTATGAAGTCTTCCATACCCGGCTGGTGCAGGCTATGGAGCCGTACATCAAGGTGTATCAAGACAACATCAACACTAGCCGTCAAAAAAGCATTATCGAGTTCTTCGCCCACAACCCACCACAGCCAGCCAGAGCCAGTGATAGTGACAGTGAAAGTGACTTTGAGGGATTTGTCAGGGAGGCCCTGACAACTATGACTGATAGTGATGGTGATTCACCTAGTAATGGTGATTCACCTGAGGGCCAGTAATCTGCCCTCTGCCTCGGAACCAGCCTCCATCCCCGTATGCCAACCCATTTCTTCTACTGACATAAGTGTTACACCCAACCTTTAGTTTTCCTAACTTAACCTTTATTTTTCCTTACTTAACCTTTATTTTTCCTAACCTAAACTCTTCTATATTAATTGTGTGTGCATACCATCATAAAGTTAAGATAATATTTTTACTACAACATAGTTGTGTGTCGTCAAAAAGTGGAGTTTGGGGATCGGGCCAGTCTCTATTGGAATTAATCCCATATGTTCTGTTGTTCACTTTACGCGGATTTCACTTTCCGCGGTACCCTGTGGGTTCAATTGACCGCGTAAATCGGGGTACTACTGTATGTGATGTTTGAACTCAAATTAATTATTATTTTACAAGAATTACAGCAATTGAAATTATTTACTGCCAAGTCAATTCAGTGACATTTTATAAGGGAAAAACTAAAACTCCTTCTGTTTTGATAACTTTGCACTTTGTTATCTCCCCTTGAACTCCTTGACAGCTGTCCCCCCCTCCTCTTCCTCACAGCCAGGGTGAAGGCAGTTTAGGCTTAAAGTTTTTATCTTATTAAATGTTGCAGGCTAGACTTAGCAGAATATAAATGACATTTCTGGAATCCTTGCAAAATAGTGATTAATTTGAGCATAAACATCACATAGTTTACACAAGAGATAACATTTTAGTCTAGTGTAGTACAGTATATTTGAGTGTATTGTTGAATCTATTACCTGACCTCGGTTACAGCAAAACGGATAATCCTGCAAGGCTTTGGAACCAAGGGTGCCGGAAAATCGGTGGTGTACCTGCATACTGTACTGTACAATGTACAGGGAACTATGTCATTTACCCCATACTTTTTCAGTACTTGTCACATTACTCTTCTGTTTACTCTATCATTTGCTTATTACAGTATACTGTATACTGCAAACACCAGTGCCAGAAAACAAAATCATTTCCTTCTCCAGAAACGCTTCCATGTGCTCTTCAGTGCAAATACTGTACTTCATTTAGATATCCTCTTCCCTTTTTGATCCCACATGGTTTGTCCTTCAATGCATTCTCTGATTTTACATCTTTATAGCAGATTAAATTTGTTATGGTAGTAAATGTGATTGATATGAGAGTTTGTGTTTACCCTTGATTCTGTCCGCCCAACAAAATTGCAGAAAAAGGTTTGAAAGCATGAAAAAAGTATTTTTAATTTTATTGATCAGGTGTTTCATCCTATGGGCTGGGATGCTTTTGGTCTACCTGCTGAAAATGCAGCAATTGATTCCAATGAGATGCCTGAAAAATGGACCTACAGCAACATTCAGCAGATGAAGGACCAATTGCTCAAATTGGGTTGCAGCTTTGACTGGAATCGAGAGATAGCTACTTGTGATCCACAGTACTACCGTTGGACTCAAGCTATTTTTTTACGTTTGTTCAGAGCAGGGTTGGTGTATCAAGAAGAAGTAAGTAACTATGATATTATCTTTTGAATAATTGATAGTCAGTGATAGTCTGTTAGGAATATTGGGATTTCATGTTTCTGTGTGCTATGAAATATGAATCATGAGATTTTGAAGTATTTGTCAATCATTATGAATACCCTGTACTGTACTGTACTGTACTGTACTGTACTGTACATCCTTTCTTACAGGCACTGGTGAACTGGGACCCTGTGGATCAGACAGTGTTGGCAAATGAGCAAGTGGATGCTGATGGATGTTCTTGGAGATCTGGTGCTAAGGTGGAAAGCCGATTCCTGAAGCAGTGGTTTATTAAGACCACCAGGTATAACATCACTAAATTGATTCATACAGTACTAAAAATAATCTTCCCAACACCTCCTTTACCCCACCACCACTGGTCTCCCAGCATTAACATTCTCTCCCTCTACATTAAATAAAATCCTGCTTTAGAATGTTTAGTCCCAAATGGTGGTTATTTACAGACTCAACCTTTACACTATATATTCAATTAACGGAAGTTTCCCATTATCTTGTTAATATGTTTCCCATACTTTAGCAGTCTCTTTTCCTGTTTCCTACTTTTCTAGGTATAACCCCTGCCGTGTTCACCTCACATCCTTATCATGTGCAGTACACTATTACTGTATTGTTTCTCTATGAGAGGAAGGGGAGTCCCACTGATAGCAGAGGCAATAAAATTCAAAAGTAAAACTATCCTCATACTGTACTTACTTTCAGTATATTTTTATTATCAGCATTTAGTTTTATTATATTTACTCCTTCGTATTGTACTTCTGTAATTTCAGGAAGACCTAGAAATTTAGTAATTCTTTAAATTATGGACTGAGCACTCTTGATATCATGGTAATTTAGTAAAATGTAAGTCTTTCAGAAACATAATTGTCAAAGTTCCTCTTTTAATTGTACAGTTGAATAATACTCTGATTACTGTACTTTGTTACTCTTTTAATATATATTTGTATGCTACTGTCTCATGATATAGTTGATACATTTTGGTAACCATGTCTAAGACAAGTGTATTTTTCACTTTTCAGATTTTCCAAATCACTCCTGGATGGTTTGTCTGACCCATTGTTAGAAAATTGGAGTGACATCATCAAGATTCAGCGCCACTGGATTGGAGATTGTGTAGGGTTTAGGGTAGAGATGACGGTAGTTTGTGTTAATAGTGAGGAAGAAAAATTGGCACCAATGAGTGGAAAAATTTACCTATGGATGGCACAACCTGAACTTTTACATGGAATAAGTTTTATTGGAGTTCGCAGTGGACATAAATTAGATTCAGACTCATACAAAATACACAAGTATGATAAATACCAGTTATTGAATGTTAAAGCTGTATGTCCCATCACTCAAAGACAGATCCCAGTTATTGTTTGTGATGATTTATCATATATTAAAGATTCAGAGTTTTATGTAGGAATACCCTGTATATCAAATATTGATAAAAGTATTGCAAAGAAATGTGATTTTACAATTCAAAAAATAATTGAAAATGATAAATTAGTAAATTCGGACACCATGAATGGGTTGAGTCTCGATGAAGCAAGACCCATAGTCACAAGGCAACTTCTTGAGCTTGGGATGGGGGGATTTCAGACAAGTGCTAAACTACGTGACTGGCTGATATCAAGACAGCGATACTGGGGCACTCCAATTCCAATCATTCACTGCCCGGATTGTGGATTAGTTCCTGTACCCGAGAACCAGTTACCAGTAGAACTACCCAAGATTACAAGCTTCCCAAGGAGAGGTGTATCACCACTCAAGGAGGCAAGTGACTGGTTGAAATGCACTTGTCCAAGGTTAGTGAATATTTCCTAATTTGAATTTTGAATATAATAAGAAATATATTTTTTTTTAATTTATATATGGATAGTAAAAATTAATTCCTTTGGCTGTAGTAAAACTTCTATTTAACAGACTATATGGAGAAGAATTTCCATTATATTGCGTCTGTTAGATATGAAACTTCAATCTGATGAACTATATAGAGATGAAACTCAATTATATCAAGGGTCTGTTAGATATGAAAACCCCCATCTAACATATTATATGGAGAGAAGTTCATTATATGGAGGTTTTACTGTATTGGAAGCAGGCCACTTGAACAGGGCTTGATATACCTCCTAACCATCCTGTGTTACAGTGAGAGAAGGCTTGAAAGAGTATTGGTAATACAAAATTGGTTCACATGAGCATGGGAGCAGGTTATTTGCTCAAGGCTTAGCTTAACCCCACCTTTCACTCAGTTATTAATAAAAACAAAGGAATTAAAATCAAGGTATTTCAATGTGCATGGATATGATAGGAGTTATAAGAATAAAGTTATTGAAACAGCAATGAATGAAAGGAACCTGGACAGAGGAGAGAAAGGGTGGTGACAAGTGAGGGTTAGAAAGAGAGGAGTGATGAAATGTTGTGTTGTGTGATATACTGGTAATAATTGGGGGTCAGTCCCATAATATAGATTGCATTAAAAGTCTTCTTGGTTTTCCACTCCACCATCTACAATCTATCTCTGAATTATACATTCCTTTTTACTGAATTCTCACTTCTCATTCCCTCAACATATCCATATCACCTGATCCCCTCTCACCCAAACACCTCCATATCTTTATATTTCTGTTTCTTTTTCTCTGCATCCTGTTTACTGTCACAGTTGGTTCTCAGGCATGTAATTTCTGTCATTTCTGATTTTTTCCTGCCTCTCATATCCAAAGTACATACATACTTCATTTCCAAATAATTATATTAGCTCAGTATTTTCTCCTTTGATATATACTTCTTTGTCTCCATAGCATTCTCATTGCTGCATTATGTTTTGGTCTTCCACTATTCTACAGTTTAATTTAATCACTAATTATTTCAATGAGTGACACATCTCCCTTTTTTGGAAAACTTCACTTCCTCTGTTTTATCTCCATTAAATTGAACATGAATGAATGAGATAAATCTGGTAGAATTATTAAAGCCTATTTATGGAAGGGAAGTACAGTACCACAGTTGTACACATCTATTACATCACTAAAACTGTGTGTAGCTACAGTATTTATTTTCTCATGATTCCACCCACTCTGCATTAAGTGGGACTAGCCTTAAAAAGAATATTAATTTTTGGGGGGGTATCTCAACCTCTTTTCGTAATGACAGGTGTGGAGCTGAAGCTGAACGTGAAACAGACACAATGGATACATTTGTTGATTCCTCTTGGTATTTTCTACGTTACCTTGACTCCAACAACACCCAAGATCTTTTTAGCTACGACATACAAGATAAACTGATGCCTGTTGATCTATACATTGGAGGAAAGGAACATGGTAATTATGTAAAACAATTTTGTGAAAAGGGGAAATACTAAGCAGAATATATCTGTAATAGCAATGACAGTGATTAAGTGACACCATTTGAAGGGAGATTGTGTGTGTGTGTGTGTATATTTTCTCTTGATTGCAGCCACTGTGAAATACTCAAGCAGCAAATGCTTGAAAGAATGGAAAAAAGGAACTACATTACGGTACTGTATAGTATACTGTATGGCCTGACAGCTGGTGGGATTTTCAAACAGACAGCTGCTTTGGAATTCCCATCAAGATTTCTATCATCTTCCCTTCCTGTCTATTTTCTCATTAGCTGCAGGGTGCCTCCATTATTCTTATTGGCGAGGCTTCTCCTAAGGCTAATATTATGAGAGTGACGCTAACTCCCCTGGGTGACTCGTGGGTCAAAATGGAGGAATTTGTTCCCCACTAGCCAGTCAGAATTAATTAACCAGCTTAAAACTGCTTCAGGGTTGTGAGTGAAATTATTAGTCTACTAGAACCAATCTTTAGCATCCTGTTTGACCAGGGAAAACTGGACAAGTTGACTAATTTTGCACAACTAAAAGCATCACATGCCCCTCTTACTTGAGGCTGGTTGTACTGGGAAGGAAGGAAGGTAAACATAAAAGGCCCTTCCAAAATTACAAGAGCCGCCTGGTTCTGTGTACCACTCCACCAGAAAGAGGGATTTCAGAATCAATCCTTGATTTCAGCTTAAATATTTTAAGTGTTCTTAACTTATCCCTAAGGTAGACAATTTGATATTTAAAATCATATTATATTGTGCTTAAGGACTTATTTTGTCATGAGATCACACCCTTGGTGGATGTTACATTACAAATGGATGACTGCTTGTTTCCTCAACTTGAAATGGGTATAAATATTTGATGCACCTTCATAAGGGATTGGGAAACACCACCAGCTGCTTTATGCTAAGAACCAGGAGATCATCTGTCCAGCCACTGTGTATTGTAGCAGCAGTATAAAATAAGCTGTAACATCTCCTTCCCATAAAACAGAATAACAGGTTTTAACCTTCCTTTTGTTGTCATTTGGACTCCTCAGAATAAAGATATATTGACTACAGTGTTAATAGTTCTTCAATGCAGTACTCTTGTGCACAGATAACAATTGATATGCATGGGCAATATCATTGTAGAAAAACATAGTCTGGTATATTAAGAACTCTTATAGATTTGGTTTATTCCCAGTGAATCCCTAATTATATGTACAGTACTTCACCAGTATTCATTGACTGAAACAGCATTCATAATTCACTTGTAAAATTTCTTTGTGTTTCTCTGAAGTTTGCAATAGTATTCTGTCAATATATATCATGATGTAAATTTCTTAGGGTTCTTTACAAATGATAAAAACACCATTTGTTGTGTAGGATATAGCTTAATCATGCACATATAGAGAATTCATGATACAATATATCTTAAATTTCAGCTGACCTTCACCTGTACTTTGCCCGTTTTGTGCACCATTTTCTGGCCAGTGAAGGGTTAGTAAGTCATTGGGAGCCCTTCAAGAGACTGATCATGATGGGTATGGTTATGGGGCAGTCATATATGGTTGAAGATACTAGACGTTACATCACCAAAGATCAAGTAGATTTTACAGGTAATGTGTATTCAATTTTTTTTCATATTGAAGTTTTGGGTTACCAGTACATATTGCATCCAAAGTTAAATTTTGTGTTTTAAATTTTGAGGGAATGCATTAAATATTCAGTAAATATTAAAGGAGCAAATTAGACAAAAAATTATATCTGAAACCATAGTGGAGAAACCTTTGGTATGAAAATGTGATTTGCTCTAAGATCAGGATACTGTAGTACAATATATGAGGCGCCCCGCATCGTATGGGTTATTCACGCCAAAATTTGAAACCGAGAAAACCGCTTTTAAAGTTTTTCCAACTTCAAACATGCATAACTTTGTTGTTTTTTGAGATACAGCTTTCATTTTTGATGCATTTTGAAGCTAAAGGACAGTACTTGCAGATGGTAGGTAGCACATCATGAAGTAATGTACTGGGTTCTTGCCATGTTGACTTGAAGCAACAAAACTTCCACCCGCTTATGGGTTTTTTTACTTTAATCGATATCAGAGTGTAGATCCCGCCCGCTGGAGGGGCCGTGGCATAGATAGCAGTTGCTCACTGTCATTAGCTGAGACGGGGGAGGAGGCTGTAGGCTGGTCGCTGTGATTGGCCGCCCGCTCCTCTCACTCATTCACTGACAGGATGGGAGCACCTTACGACGCAAAAGCCAAGTCCATAATTTCCTGTCTGCCACAAATCAATGTTCTCCCCTATTTTCAAAGGGCTTTCAACCTTATTTACAGTGTAGTAAGGAGATCTTATCAACTACCACCATATAGAGCTAGGCCGAAAATAGTGCTTTCCAACAAAAAACGGGTTTTGCCCGGATGGTCTGAATGCACCTTATGATGTGGGACGCCTCATATGAAGTATCATTATACAGTTCAGTACTGTCCTGTCATAATGGGTCAAATTAAACAAAGGAAAAGGAGAAATATTACATAACAAACTTTAAAAGTGAAACAAGACTTTGTGGACGCTCTGTATTATGATATGATTTATAATGTACAGTATAGTATTTTCTCTTTCCCCATTTACAGTTAATCCTCCGGTGGAGGCTGAAACTGGTGCACCCTTGGTAATTACTTTTGAGAAAATGAGCAAAAGTAAACACAATGGCATTGACCCACAGGTATTAATTGTGTCTACACATGTTATCAGAAATACTTTTATTTTTTGTGCCATATACCCTGTAAAGTTTATCTAGTTTAAAAGTCCACATACAGTATACTGACCAGTTCCTTCTCTGTAAAATTGGGTTGGTGATAGGAAAGGCATCCAGCCATAAAACTTGCTTAAAATTTGCACCGTTCTGCACCAATTATCCTGTTAACAGGGAGATTACTGTATAATGTAGCATATTGCCCTCTATTTAAGAACTAAAGCACCCAAAAGAGGAAAATTGGCATATTATATGTACCTCTAAATGCTGTAAATATTTTTGGAGTATAGTATATGGTTTAATTATCATCATCATTTTATAGCTATTTCCATACTTGCATGGGCTATACCCCTTTGCTCATTCATTTTATATGAGTACAATAGAATCTGTTATATTTTTATGTATTGCTATACTGTACTATTGACCATTTGTTCCACTAAGTGTACTTGAATAGAATAAGTTTAAATAATGGACAGTACTATTATGTTTGGAACTTCATGATACTGTCCATGGCAAATTTAATTCTTTACAGTATTTTCTTGAGTGAAGGCATTGATATTAACCCCAAGTGTTGGTTACAGGAGGTACTGGACAAATACGGCACAGATACTACTAGACTGCTGATGCTAGCTAACTTTGCTCCACATTCACAGAGAAATTGGTCAGAAGATAGTAAGTCCTTCTTTGGGTTTTGGCTTTCACAGCTATGTACTGTACTATACAGCTCTGTACTTCAATTTGATTCTTGTGCCAGCAGACAAAGATGTGACTAAGTGACAAGAGTGCATCCATTGTTGTCTGTACAGTACATCTCTAATAAGATTTTTTTTATTGTTATTTTAGCATTTCCTGGTATCCTTAACTGGCAGAAGCGTATATGGCTGATTATTTGGGATTTCATACAAGTTCATCTGAATAAAGAAGATAGAAAAATGAATTCTTTAAGGTAAACCCCTGTGGTCATTCAGGTACACTGCTGCTTCTTGGATGTTTATATCCCTCAATTCCAATGCATTCCTCCACTATCCTTTCATTGTCTTCTTTGTCTACTCTTCTCCTTCCTACCAACCACTTCTCAATTATTCGCTCTTATTTACCAATCCTTTACTCTTCATTCTCTCAAAAACATGACTCTGATACAAGTACACACTACTGTATACAGTACAGAGTTTTCATGAATTAATACTACAACTTATACTGTATTTATATTTTTTCATATAAATTAAAATCTTGTACGATATTTATTTTTTCTGGCTCATTCGAAAACCGAATGTCCCACTCCATACTAATATTCCCCTTGTGTTCTGAAGCTCGCTTAACATGAATTCATGAAACAGGTGACCATTGTGTTGGCCATCTTACTGTACTGGTACAGTATTTTGTCATTTGTTTATCAAATTTTACATTTCATATTTATTTCCTACTACCCCCCGGTTAGTCAGTAAGGTAACTTATTTTATCTGTATAGGGGGTCCCTGACTTACGAACGCCTGCTGATACAAGCAAGGTCCCATTAGGTCAAGTATTTTTAAAGACCGACATAAGTACAATGGTTCGTAGCAGTTGCATATGAGAACTAGTTTGCGCTGAGTGGAGGGGAGGCGGAGCGGCGAATGATGCATCACCCAGCCACACGTCTTGAGGGAGCATCAGTACACTTTACCCTCACCTCAGTAACGTGTGATCAAGTGCAAACTGTTGTTTTTTGCTTATTAACTCTCTTTTTCTGCCCTCATCATGGCTCCCAAACCTGATGCAAGTGATAGTGGTGCATCCAAGAAATGGAAAACAATTACAATGGAGGTGAAACTTGATGTAATTAAACGTTCTGAAATGGGCTAAACACACCTCAGTGATCAGTAAGGCGTTAGACTTCAGTAGGTCAATGGTCGGAACAATTTTGAAAGACAAAGAGAAATTCTTGAACTTGTAAAAGGATCTACACCAATGCACTCAACTGTGATAAGAAAACAAAGAAGTGGATTGTAACTTGAAATGGAAAGATTGTTAGTGATATGGGTGGAACATCAAAATCAACAGGATTTGCCTCAAAGTCTAGTCTTGATTCAGGAAAAAGTGAGAAGCTTGCATGCTGACTTGAAGGCTAAGTGTGATGATGAAAGTGATAGGGAAGATTTTGTTGCTAGTAGGGGCTGGTTTAATCGGTTCAAGGTAAGGGCAAATGATGTTTGGAAAAAACACTGCCCACAGTTTGTCCACAATTTCAAGGGCTCTGAAAATGATGTTGGGGAAATGACACAGCCAGTGGTAGACCTTGGGAACAAACTCCAGCTTCATATTCATGAGGATGAAGTCACACAGTTGCTTGAGTCTCATACTGAAGAATTAAGCAATAAGGAGCTGATCAAACTGGAGAAGCAAATTTTGTGTCAGAGGATGTAGAGGAAACTGAAACTCCGGAACTAAAGGGATTAATTACAAAAGAAATGGCAGATGGTTTCAGGCTTGTTGAAGAAGGATTGTTTAAATTTAAACAGCAAGATTCACCAAGATTCATAGAAATATTACTGAATATCTATGATGCTACAGAGAGATTTATGATAAAAAGAAGAAAATTTCAGTTGAACCATCCCAATAAAGTCTCTGTCACTCCTACAAATGCTCATCTCTCTACATGCAAGCCAGCCTCAGGTTTCAATGTTGGTGTTAAGCTTTAATTTTTACTTTTCGTTACTGTATTTTGTCATTCAATTTCTTCTCTTCTCTTACATTAAGTGATTCAAGATGTATAAAAGGATTTGGGCTATGATATGTTCGACTTACGTACATTTCCGACTTAAGGACGACCTCAGAAACAGAACTCGTTCGTAACCCAGGGACCCCTTGTACTAAGTCATGCAAAACCAAACAATGAGACTTTCTTACACCCTTGGAAGCCTCAGCTGTCATTCTCAATACAGCTCCTCCCCGACTTACGACCTACTACCACCCGCACTTACGACCTGCCTCAGTCGTACCAAAATTTTGTCAAATTACGTATTTTCGAGTCCCAACGTCAGTTCACTGACAAAATTTTCATTTGTAATTCACTTTGAAATGGCTGGCAAGCTTAAAGGTGAGAGTTTTGTGGTGCTGAGAAGAAAAAGAGACACTCATTTTAGATTTTCTATGTATTATTTAAGCATTTTCGACTTACGACTATTTCGACTTACGACCTGGATTTGGGTCCCTAACCCAGTCGTAAGTCGGGGAGGAGCTGTCCTGTACTGTACATCTATCTATGTGAAAATAAAATCCTCACTCAAATGGCTACAATTTAACTAATTGTGATGCAGATATTTGTACTTTAGGCAGTTTACACTGGAGAGTACAATCCTCATCCGATATTTGAAAGGGATAAATTCCACAAAGTCTCGCTGCATATGAAAATTCCGTATGTTGAACCAAATTTTCCCAAATGTACTGTACTCCCATTATATGAATGGAGATGATTCCTACATAAAATCTTAAATCCACTATGTAACAAATACACAACACACAACACCAAACTGTATTAATATTGAACTTACTACAGTATCCTGAACATAAACAAACATAATAATGCAGCAATTAAAACCAATGGAAAAAAAAGAGGAAATGTGTGTGTGTGTGTGTGTGTGTGTGTGTGTGTGTGTGTGTGTGTGTGTGTGTGTGTGTAATATTACAATAGATATCCCCATAACACACTGCCAGTCAGCTGAGAGATGGCTATGCACATTGCCATTGTTATCAAGGGCGTCCTCGCTTAACGTCGGGGTTACGTTCCTGAAAATGCGACGTTATTTGAAACACGGTGAAGCGGATCAATTTTCCCTATAAGAAATAGATAAAATACAGGAGTTACGTTCCTGAGCCTCCCTTTGCCCCATGAAAAAAGTTACATATACAGAAAATCATTGCCATTTCTATAGAAAATAGTATATAGAACTACAATACAGGTGCTCCTCTACTTGCCAACGAGTTACATTCCTGAGGCTTGTTTGCAAGTCCAACTTTACTCTTGTAGACACCAAACATATTGTAAAAAATGAACAAATTACGGATATTTAGTACAGCTATACCCTTTAATACAGCCTTTAAACCTGGCTCACTATTCTCCTCTTAGGTAATGTCTGTTCTATCTGGAATTTTCTTCAAAATAATCGTCTCATCTACATTAAATACCTGTTCTGGCAGGTAATCCTCCTCAGTCATGATGTATCTCTGAAAGTTTGTAAGTTGAACGTTCTTAAATAGAGGAGCACCTGTACGAAGTTTGTATTGGTACTCACCGATGGGCAGAGGTGATAGAAAGAGCGTGTGGTGGGTAGTGGAGCGGAGGAGGAGGGTGGGAGCGAAGGAGGGCGGGAGAGGAGGAGGGTGGTGAGTCTCTGAGACTCTGCGGCTGCCCCCTCCTCCCCCTGCTCTGACTGGGGTTCCTCCTCCGTTATTATTTGCTCCTCTTCGGCTGCCGGCTGTTGTAAAGAAGCTCCTTCTGCCGTCCCACAACGAAAAATGAATCCAGCGTTGACTGCTTGGTGCTACTCATCTTCTTATAGATCTCGGTGTAACAACCATGGCTGTCCTCAATGCTGCGTTGAACCTTTGAGCTACGTTCTCTGTTTGGGTCGTCATCTAGAAGCATTTGCATTGCTTGCTGGAACATGTTCAACGATTCTGCCAACCTCTTGGAAGTTAGCATTCGTTGAGGTTCTTCTTCGTCGTCGTTGTCGTCTTCAACGGGACTGTGTTCTGTTAATTGTTGCAGATCTTCATTGGTGAGCTCTTCTGTATGGGATGCCAGGATGTCCTCAATATCCTCTGATTCCAGCTCATCAAAGCCTGCCTGTTTAGCAAAGCTGAGGATATCCCTATTCACAGCTGGGACTAAGTCCGTGAATCCCGTAAAACTGTTGACGCACTCAGGCCATAGTTTATGCCACACACCATTCAGGCAACTTTCTGAAACCCATTCCCATGCCTTGCCAATGTTGTCAATTGCATGAAGAATGTTGAAGCCCCGCCAATATTCTCGGATCGTAGGTTATTTTCTCCACCTGTAGCCTTGAGCAGCTGGGCCATGGTACAGTGTAAATAATACGCCTTGAATGCGGCGATGATGCCTTGGTCCATAGGCTGCATCAGTGCTGTCGTGTTGGGAGGCAGGAATACAACTTTTACACTGTCATGCAAGTCGTCGAGATGGGAGGATGAGCTGAAGCATTGTCAACGATCAGAAGAATTTTGAAGTTAAGGTTCTCCTTGGCACAGTATTCCTTCAGTGCAGGGACGGTGTACACGTTCAACCACTGGCTAAATATGGCGCTGGTTATCCATGCCTTCTTATTTGCCTTGTAGATCACAGGAAGGTGATCCTTAGAGTAACCTTTCATGGCCCGTGGGTTGGCAGCGTGAGAAATTAGCATAGGCTTCAGCTCGAAGTCACCGGCAGCGTCGCGCCAAGCAGCAGCATCAAGCGGTCTTTTGCCGCTTTAAAACCTGACGCTCTTTTCTCCTCCTTGAAGATATAGGTCCTCTCGGGCATCCTCTTCCAAAAGAGACCAGTCTCATCCACATTGAAGACTTGCTTCGGTGAGTAGTCTCCTTGCTGGATAATCCGTTTGAATTCTGGTTGGAATGTCTCGGCAGCAACCGTATCTGAACTGGCAGCTTCATCAGTCGTCTTAATATTGTGGAAGTTATAACGACACTTAAATCGTTGAAGAAATCCTCGGCTGGCCGTAAAGGTCTCATCCTTCGATCCTTCATCCTCTTCTGCCTTTAAGTCATCAAACAAGGAATTTGGCCTTATGCTGCATAACCATAAGGCTCACAGAAGCATTGCTTTGATTCTGGTCCTCCATCCACATTGCCAGCATCTTTTTTCGCCTTCTCTATCACAGTGCTTCTAGTACGAGTCGTCTTAGTAGCACTCAGAGAAGAACCACTTCCAGCACAGACCTTAATCTTGTGTTGGTCCGGATAGTACTCATTGTTGTGGGGGTTAGACCAAGCACAGCGGCTATGTCCACAGCACGTTCCCCTTTATCAAATCGGGTTGATACATCCATTTTCGTAGCAAGGCTAATGGTCTTACATTGCCTCTTCACTACACCAGCATTAGTAGCACTTGATGGGCCCTTGGAAACCATTTCAAATGGTTAGAGTACAGTTTTAGAGCAAAAACTTAAGCACACACGAATGATGTGAAGTCGTAACAGAGACTGGCTTGATGTCGCTTGGGGATGCTGTGACATTCTACGAGTGAGGGCAGCGCGTCGATCCGAGAGAGCGTAGTGCAGCCAGACAAGAGCCGGTGATGTGCCATAGAAAGAAGTCCGTGATGACGCAAAACGGCGTAGTATCGGTTCACCGGGACGTTAAATGAATTTTGGGTCTCTAAAGTTCAGCGACGTAGCACCGAAACAACAATAAGCGCGACGACGTTAAGCGAGGACTTACTGTATGTAATAAAACTATAGTACAGTATGAAATTTTTGGAAAAATCACTTCAATATGTACTCTGCTGTGACTTAGAAATGAATAAAATAAAATATAAAACTATAAAATAAGATAAATAAAGCGCATTGGTGAGTATGTATGGAAAGCAGACATGTGTGGAGGCAGTGGGCCATAACTGCATCACCAATTCAGACCAACTCCTTCCCCGGGGCCCAATGTGACATCATGGCATACACACAGTGCAGTGCAGCAATGACACACATCTGAGTCACTTGACTAGCAGATTTTTTTTTTTTTTTATACATTGTATATATTCTATTGTATTTTATGATGTGCTATGTATCAATTTTATTGTTTATTATTGAAGGAGAGAGGGAGGAAGAAAATGTTAACTTCCTGTATGTATATTTTTATTATCTTCTAAAATCTATTAAAAAAATTACCCAAATTTCTGCTACAAAGAGTTTTCCTTTTTGTTTATTGAATTTTAGTCATAAATTAACCATTTCCTTAAAGTGAATTTCCAATCCATTAAACTAATTTAAAAAAATTGAGGGATGACTGTACAGTATTTCATAGAGGAAAACACCACAGTATTTTATCCACCTTCTCCTCCGTAACATTATTTTTTATCTATGATCAAGATATACAGTATTGTACTGTATCCTACAGCACAGAGGAGAGAAAGCAGTATGAGCAGATCCTTTGGGAGAACCGCAACTATCACCTTCGACGTATTACATATCTCTTTGAACACAGTCATCAGTTGAGTGTTGCCATCTCCAACATGCAGGGCTTAACTGGCAGTCTAAGGGTGAGTTTAATGTTGTCTCTTAAGGGTCTATCACACTGGGCAAAATTTCCGCTGTTCTTGATTTGGAAAATTTTTTTCAATCGCATGCTCAGTTGTAGCACCATTTATGTATCGCCGTCGCTTGGAAGAAAACAATAACAAAGGTGATGTTGTTTTAAGATTTTCTTGAGGTACAATGGATGTCTGAAATCCCACAACACTGCATTCCCTCACTTTATTAACAATGGAAGTTTCAGTCCCTTGTCCATATACTTGGTGAGGTTTGAGAATCCATGCTGGCCATGCCTAGTGGGTGTGAACAAAAGTCAAATGAATGTTATCTGTATTTTCTTTTGTATGTACAGTATAAAAAAAAGGTGTAATGATAATATATTTGCATTAAAATCACTTAAAAGCTGTTTCCTAATATTATAATGTTACAATTAATCAATGCTTTTCAATTATAAATATTTTAAAACCTACAGTGGACCCAAAATGTAATTAAAACATACCCAAGAACTCCTGCACATACTACTGATTTCCTCGGATCTCGGTTTTCAGGTGAAAATTTTGCCTGATAATGGCAGTACGGTATCACCAATTTTTCCTGAGGAATGTGAAAATTTTGCCCAGTGTGATAGCCCCTTTAGTACTAGTTTGAGCTTATTTTGCCACAAAACCATTTACAGATATTCCTTGTTATCTGAATGGGTTAGGTTTCTTCAAAAGCATTCTGGTAGCAAATAGAAAAAATAGGGTTCAGTCCCCTACAAGGAGATATTATTACTGGAGGTGGCATGGGCACATTGGGCAGTGATACACATGGGCCAGACTGAAACCAGTTGACCCATGCACCACCATCTTGGTACAGTATATTGGAAAAATAGTCACCACCAATTGCCACTACCCAAGCACTAATTAGCATAAATGTTCCTGACATGCACTTATAAATGGTCAGTGATAGGTATACATGAACTGTGGTTGTACAGGTATCTCTCGATATACGAATGGATTAGGTATACTGGGGTATTAAAATAAAACATTCGTTAAGTGAATTTCTGTATCTCGAATAACAGAACACATGGAAAAAAAAGGGCTCAGTTACCCTATGAGAAAGGTACCCCAAAATATGAAATTGATTCACATACACATACACACACACACAAAAAAAATAAAAACCCTACCTAGCTAATGATAAATAGTACACAATGATTGTAATTTACTACCTAGCAAATAAAAACATTAATAAAATGCTATCTAAATCGGGTCCGCAACCCCCATCTTTCCGGCAGCATATGGCCAGAAAGGGGTACATATGCGTCTGGCTAAATGACGTCTAAATTTCAGGCCATGTGGCCGTTAAAACTGTCTTTATTCCTTATAATTTGGGTGAAAATAAAAAGCAGGGAATCAAGATAATGCTGGATGAATATACTGCAGTGAGCAGACATTCAGTGTGCTTACCTTTGTGAAGAACAAGTTACTGTTCTACCTCACATGCAGTCACACCACAGAACTTGTGAAGGCTGCTGTAACACTTTGAACCAATTTTTTCTGAAATTGCAAATCACCTCCAGGCTCAATCCTCACATTAGTTTTGGCATTGTTCTTTGTATTTGTATTTGGAATTGAAGCCCTTATTTTCCTATGCAAAAAGCAAACTTTATTTTACCTGAATACTGTATAACACAAGGAGGACAATTTTTCTGTCATTTATAAAAACATTACTGTACATAATTTTTTGGGGGAGGGGTTATTGTACTGTATTGCTTTCTAAAGCGATTTCCCTGTATACGTACTTGCATTTCGGGTGCAAATCGGTTATTAAACCGTTATTTTGTACAACTCGGACAGTTTCATATTTCCATATTTTATATTGCTTAAAGTTATGTTTCCCTAATTTCTTCACAGAATATTTAACTGGGCTAGTGACTAGTGCTATTATTTCAATGTAGAGTATGTAGATGAAAGCTATGTTTAGTCTTAAATATCGGTTTTGTTAATAACAATTTTCTGACAATAAAATATAGTCCAGCATTTCTGATTTTACATTCAATGTTTTGGAACACAGTGCTGACTTATGTTGGCTTAGTACCCCTGCGGCCGTTCGCTGATTACTTGCACCATTAAGTGGCCGACTAGTGTATAAAGGTTGCAGACCCCTGATCTAGATGAAAATATGAGCCGAATCCATTAAGGAAAGGCTTTATCAAAAGTTTAACACAACTGCCATTTGTATAGATTTATTATCAAAACCATCACCGATCATTCTATTCCTCGCTAAAATCGGCTCATGAACAGCAAAAGACCTATCAAACTACTGTATGGTAATTGCTAAAATAAATAAAATACATATACTATACAGTAGGTAGGTAGTAGGCAGCTACCAAACAGGGAGGTACTACCGCCTGGGAAGATATTGGAAGCATAATGTATTGTCTAATGGTAGACTCTTGCTGCCATATGGCATCACGAATATTGTGACCAAGTCCCAGGTTGCTAATCTGACTTTCTGCCTCATATACAGTTAACCCTCACTTTACGCGGTTAATGTAACCCGGAGGGTACCGCGGAAAGTGAGAAACGCGTAAAGTGAATAACATAACATATGGGATTAATTGAAATGGAGTCCGGGCCGATCCCCAAACTCCACTTTTTGACGACACACAACTATGTTGTAGTAAAAATTTTATCTTAACTTTATGATGGTATGAAAAAACAAGTAATATAGAAGAGGTTAGGTTAGGAAAAATAAAGGTTAACATAGGAAAAATAAAGGTTAGGTTAGAAAACTAAAACTTAGGTGGAACACTTACGGTAGTAGAAGAGATGGGTCGGCATACGGGGATGGAGGCTGGTTCCGAGGCAGAGGGCAGATTACTGGCCCTCAGGTGAATCACCATTACTAGGTGAATCACCATCACTGTCACTTACAGTTGTCAGGGCTTCCCTGACAAATCCCTCAAAGTCATCTTCACTGTCACTATCACTGGCTTGGGCTGGCTGTGGTGGGTTGCGGGCGAAGAAATCTGTTATGCTTTGCTGACGGCTGGCGTTGATGTTGTCGTGATACACCTTGATGTACGGCTCCATAGCCTGCACCAGCCGGGTATGGAAGACTTCATAGCGGTCATCGTCATTGTCGCGGGAAAGGAAGGACTTCATTTTCTCTGCACACTCCATGGCACCCTTAATATCACTATGACTTAAACTGTGTTCTTCGGAGAATGACGCACCTTCTTCCTCCTCTTCACTGACGTGTTCTTCTTCCAACATCTCGTCGGCAGTCACTTCAGGATCTCTGATCACCTCCAGGATGTCGTCGTTGGTGGTCTCGGAGAAGCCTGGAACTGTAACAGTCTGCGCAGCTTCTCTGGCAAGGTCCACTGCTACTGCAACATTCTGAACCTCACCAGTCACAGATTGACTCCTCCTCTCACCTGGTATTCCATGCAACACATGTCTCCATGCGTGACGAATTGTAGCAATAGACAGCTGATCCCATGACTCCACCAAGAAGTCCACAGCTTTCTTGATGTTAAATACTCTCCAGAATTGTTTGAACAGTATTTTTTGCTGTTCCAACTGTTGATCCTCATCTTCTTCGCTCTTGCTATCGGTGGTGGTGTCACTCAGGTTACGCAACTCTTCCCTGGTGTTGGTGTAGCGTTCAGGAGCTGGAATTTTTTTGTTGAGAATGCAGCTTTTACATTACAGATTAACTCTTGGTCCATGGGCTGTAATATAGACGTAGTGTTGGGAGGAAGGAAGACCACTTTTATGTTGGGGTGACGATCTAACAGTAGGGGCGAGTGTCCTGGTGCGTTGTCCAGCAGCAACAAAATATTGAATGGCACATTCTGTCGCTCACAGAATTTTTTTACATCGGGAACAAAACAGTCATCAAACCAGGAGAGGGACAGTGTAGAGAACATCCACGCCTTACGTGCGGTCAGCCAGTGGACATTTAGCTTGGTCATGTCCATGGTTTTGTAGGCGTGCGGCTTGCGTGCTGTGTGGATCACCGATAACTTGAGCTTACAGGTACCGGAGGCATTGGTGGTAAACAGGACGGTGATGCGTTCCTTCTGCATCTTCCGGCCCCGAATCCTGCTGGCATTCTTTACAACGAAGGACTTGGAAGGTAGCTTTTTCCAGAAAAGACCAGATTCGTCCATGTTAAACACCTGGTCGTCACTGTACTGTCCTTCCTCCATAATCTCACGTAAAAACGGAGGAAATTCCCGAGCCGCAGCACGATCAGCACTCGCTTCTTCACCACCAATGTTTATATTGGTGATCTTGTTCCGGATCTTAAACCTCTGTAACCACCCAGAGGAAGCATTAAAGGGTTTGGGCTCTGTAATTCCCATCTTTCGTGCCACTGCGATGTACAGTTCACGTGCGTAGTCCTTAACAGAGCGCGTGTCGACCGCCATGTTCCGTCGCGCCTGACGCACCAAGTACCTCACAAGTAATTTTTCTGTCTTGAGAAGCACCTGGTTGTGAAAATACTTGATCATAGAAGCACCTGTAGACTTTGTGATCTTCATGTGCTCCTTTATCTTGGCTGCATCCTTCTTTATTGTTCGAATCGTAGATTCATTCACACCATGCTGGCGCGCCAAATCAACCTGCCTTGTTCCTTTCTCCAACTCTTGGATGATGGTATACTTCACCTCGTAGCTTAAGGAACGTCGTGTCTTCTTTGGCTTAGTGCCGCTGGGTCCAGGTAATGAAAGGTTTCTCTCTGGGGGTGGTGGTCCGGCGGAAGCCATTTTACGGAACAATGGATGCGCGTTTACACGGTGTGGCCTTGAGGGATGAAACTGCCGCGGCTAGGTCAAGCGTCGTCTTTCCTCCCTCCCTCCCTCCCCCGGGTGGACACGTCATAATACTTTAAGCCAATTACAGCTAGCAGCAGAGGGGGGTAGGGATGCATGGCCAATCACAGGTCTGATACGTCATATGACGTCAGTGATAACGCAACAAAGACACACACTGCGCAACCTTACCGCGCCGCTTGCCCAAGCGGAGGAAGGAGGAGGGAGAGGCGAGGAGCACAGGCAGGCAGGCGGGCGGGTGGCGGGTGGGGCGAATCTAAAAATAGCGTCGCGCCGGACACTCTCCGCGTAATGGGGTTCACGTACCGCGTAATTTGAACACGTGAGGTTCTGGCAAGGCACCGCGTTAACATGGAAGCGCGGAATGCGGGACCGCGTAAAGTGAGGGTTAACTATACACAATTGCAGGGTCTCAATAGTTTCTCTTACTTGATAACACAACATACATATAGCATTTTTTACTATTGAATTTTGTTTTAATTTTTGTATTTCTTTATAGTTCTTTATTATTATTATTATAATTATTATTATTATTATTATTATTATTATTATTATTACAGTGTTATTATTATTGTTGTTATTTTATTTTACTTTTTATTAAAATTTTTATTTACTATGAATTATTATTATTATTATTATTATTATTATTATTATTATTATTATTATTATTATTATTATTATTAGTATTAGTATTAGTATTAGTATTAGTATTAGTATTAGTATTAGTAGTATTATTAGTATTATTAGTATTATTATTATTATTATTATTATTATTATTATTATTATTATTATTATTATTACATTTTCGCCCCCCCAGGTCCCGATGTGGGTCAGTGACCTGTGCCCGGATGGGCTAATCCCGTAAAAAAAAAATTGATACATTACCTTATCAGTGGGGGCAGTAAAGGGAGTCAACACTGGGGGTGATTTGAATTAAATATTTGATTGGACCAGCTTTTGGATTGTGAAAATGAGGTGTAAAACTAAAATTTTGGGATAGCTAACAGTATTATAACTTAGCCAACATGTCTTGGTTCTTGCAACAGAGTGGAACCCATTTCAGGGATTATATCAGACAAAGCCAGTCTAGGTGCACAGAATGACTGTAAGCTGACTGTTTATATTTAATTAATTGTTAAGAACTCTCTTTTACTACTTTCATACTGCAGATGTATTTACCTAATTAACAACTATACTGTATTTAGGGTCTTTTGTTCGTAGAAGTAATTGGTGCAAATAATAAATGAAAAAAATTGTCGGCATAACCCTGCTTTAAAAACAAAATTATTGTTTTGCACTGCCTAGACATTCACAAAGTATATAAGAAGTTTTAAGACTTCCTTAAAACCATATATCAAATATTTTTCCTGCTTTTTCAGAAAACACCAAAGTGCCTTATGTTGAGTGAAGAATATGAGCTGACACTGGGAACACTAATTATTATGATAGCTCCCTTAGCTCCACACTTTGCTAGTGAACTATGGGCAGGATTCTGTAGTGTTGCTACTTCTCCACACATTAAAAAGGTTTGATCAACATATGAGTGTCATTTTATTTTCTGATTAATTGTAATGAAAATAGAATTTTTTAGGTATGCTGTTAATCTTCTTGAGTATATTCTGTTAGCTATTAGTCCTAAGTGATGATAAATATATGAGGTGCTGAGAACAATTGAATGTTGTCCTGTATTAGCTTATAAACATTTATCTTATTTACTGTATACAGTACTGTACTGTAAAGTATCAGGATTTCCATTTTGACATATGCCAAAGTAATAAATTCAGCTTATGTCTTGGCCAGTTCAAATTATTCATGTAATGATATACTGTAGTACAATATCTGTATCTTTCTGATACAAGTATTTTTAATTTAGCCTTATTTAATATCTAAGCACATAAAGTTTCTTTTTATTTTTGTAAAAATCAATTATTTATCCTTTTTTCCTGATTATTCAGTACCTTTGATCCCCAACCTCTTAAACTGCTTTTGGGGGATTCTTCTACCCAAATATTTAGCAATTGTATTTCATTTTCAGGACCTTCCCTTAATACAGCAGCAATGGCCTGAAGTTGATCATGATTACTGTCTCCCACTCAAGTATTCGGTTAGTATCTTATAAGACAATGTACGGTACTGAAAATTTAAATAGGGTTTATCATGCAATAATGATGGAGGTATACTTTATGACCAAATGACCTTGTGTATCACATTATTGATATATCCAAGATATCCATCTTAGCCTGTTTAATTACTGTATATCAGTGAGATTACAAGATAATGGAAATTACCTTTCTGCATCTTAGTTGTCCCTCAGTTCTGAACAAAGAAAAAAATACAGGGGTATGGTAGGCAAGCCCAGGAGCATGTACAGCTATCGTTCACCATGGAAATGCATGAATTTTAACCCCCAAAATACAGTACTAAACGTATATAATTCAACCCCTTACTTTTTGAATAAAATTTTTTTCAAATACACTCAAACTGTACAGATGTACAGTATACTGTACACATCCACATCATTCGCTTTATCTCACACTGCACAAGGCCATCCATGCCACATACATATGTATGTACTTCGGAACTCAGAAACCTTCAGAATTCTTTGCGGCTCTGAAAGCTTCTAAAATCTAGAACCTTACCTACATATAGTATTAACAATTTAAATAAAAAAAAAACTGAATTTACTGAAAGTGTATTATGAGTACGTACAGGTATTTATTTATTATTATTACTATTATTATCATCATTATACTCTATGTTTATTTTACTTGAACTACAGTAGTTTATTATGAAGCCAATCTGTGTTAGTGTAACATGCTGGCTGTTGTTTTGAACAGTTATGCCTTCCTGCTGATATGGACATCCCAATATCGGATTCTGTCTGAGTACTGACGTCACTATGGCTTAATTTGTTCCGGTACTCAGGGTTTTTTTTTTACTGTACCTTTAAATGTGTGGTGAAGTGAATGTTGTTTGCACTGATGGAAGTTTTAAAATCAAGAAAGTTAACTGACACACAGAGTATGACTAAAATATTTAGAGGATTCTGGGAAAAGAACTTTTAGGATATTTTCAAGATATATAAGCTTAATGATAAATACTCAATTTTTAGGTACCTGGGAAACAAGTGCATGAGGTGAAAGTTCCAAGGAAGGTGCTGGACAAGTTAACTAGTGATGCAGCCCTTGATATAGTTTCTGCTGATGAAGAGTTCAAGGAGTATATGGGAGGAAGAACCATTATTTCAACACATATTAATGTCCTACCAGGCTTGGAAGCATATGTCTCATTTACATATAAGGTGCAGGATGTGTCCAAAGTCAAGGAAGATTTAAAGAAGATAAAGGTAGAGAAGAAAAAGCAGAAACTGGAGAAAAGACTGAAAAAAAAGCAAAGAAATGATTCAAGTTGATGTGATCTATAGGATTTAAGAAATATACACTAATTACAAGCCGAGTTACCCGGTAGTGTACTTAATCACAAAACTGAAATCCTTAGGAACAAAGGGTTTTTGGTGTTTGATTTGTTTTTCCCAGGATGAAACGACAAGCAAGTACAGTAAGTCCGCGCTTAACATCGTCCCGCTTAATGCTGTTTTGGTACTACGTCACTAAACTTGAGACTAAAAATTCGTTTAACGTCCCAGTGATCTGATACTATGTCGTTTTGCGTTGTCACGGACTACTTTCTATGGCGCATCACCCCCCATCGTCTGGCCGCGCTACACTCTCTTGGCTCGTCTCAGAGTCTCAGTGACTCACCAGTCCCAACCCTCCTCTCCCGCCCTCCTCCATTTCCACCCTCCTCCTCCGCTCCCGCCATACTCCTCCCCTTCCGCCTCCTCTGTTTCACAACCCACCACACACATGCTCTACCACCTCCGCCCATTGGTGAGTACCAATACAAACTTAGTAGTTGTATGTGTATGCCCTATTTTCAATAGAATTGGCAATGATTTTCTGTACTGTATATGTAATGTATTTCATGGGGCAAAGAGAGGATCAGGAACGTAATTCCCGTATTTTATCTATATCTTACGAGAAAAATTGATCCACTTGACGTCGTTTCGTATAACGTCACATTTTTAGGAACGTAACCCCGACGTTAAGCGAGGAATTACTGTACAGACATAACTCTGAGAAAGTTCCAGTAAAACTTAACCTGCACATAACATTTTTGTTTCATAATACACAAACTGTATTTGGGATAATATTGTATAGTACAGTACTGTACTAACTTGTTAACAATAAAACAAATATGTACATCCTTAATGTTTTATTGGAATATATACAAGACTGCAGAAATTAAGGCAAACATAAACATCCCATGTGAAGGGAAAGAATACTTTGCACAGTACTGCCTCAGTGGTGTAGTGGAGGGGGGACATGGGGATGGCATACCTCCACCTTTTTCGTGGACGGAATGGTGTTCCACAGCTTATTTTAATAACAAAATAATGAATTTTATGATATATCAGAAAACATTAACTGTATGGAAGTACTGGCACCTTTACGTGGACCATAGACAGAGAAAAAAAAGAGTGGAGAAAGGAGGGAAATGTACAGTAGGTGTGAAAGAGATTAGAACGACTGAAGAAGCAGGATGTGAGAGGTGAGTAAGTTATGGGAATGAGGTGGACGATGGTCCCTGTTGGCTAAGGCCCCAGTCACTCTCTGCACAGCTAATCCCCTCAGGCCCAAACACTAACCTCATAGCAAGGAATCAACTGACCCAGACCTTTAATTACACACGCACACACACAATTGCAATCCAATATGCCCATTTACTTATTTTTGGCATGTAATAAAATATTTGTTTTCATGATTTCAAAGATGCTCCGAGTCTAAAATGCTTTACATAATCCCATCTTAGATATAAAGCCTATATCTATACAAATGTGTGAGACTGAGTTTTTAAAATTCTGCTTAAATAACTAAGTACCACGATGAGGTGGTCTGATGAACAGACCGTCCCACCATTTATTGAGACTATACCAATGAACTGCTGCCCTAACACTGCTGTCTGGCTAGTAGTGAATGCCTGCCTGTGTAAGCTGAGTGTGCATGGGAGCAAGTGGTCTGGAAATAGCAATGTAAAATGAGGAATATTTAATGAACTTAAGCCATGTCTAACAACAAATCAAATATATACTGTACAGGTATTTCCGAATTATATTCACCTCTGCATAAATTAAGACAGCTCATAAATGAAAAAAAAATAGGGTAAGTTCAACCTATGGTAAATGTTGAGGGGAGACTGACAAAGGGACACACCAGCAGTTGATGAGAACAACATCGTAACATTCTTGTCATCACATCACTCGGTATCGACACCTGAAGGTTTCCTTTTTCATAAGTCTGTATCACCTGAAGGAGAATAGGCAAAAGTAGTTCTGTAATGAGATGTTTCAGGTGATGTTGGTACAGTATTGTGGAAAGTATGAAGTTAGGGAAGTGTTTTGCTGCCCAACAACAAAAAAATAATCTTTCATAATTTTGTTTTGTAGCTTCTTTTTCTTTCTCTTCGGTATTATTGTTTATTTTTATTCATATTTCTGATTAATTAATAATCAACAAAAAAAGGATAAATAGCATCTAAAACAAGGAACAAATTGAACTGAAAATTCTTTAGCTTAGCAACTAAACATCTCATGACCCATTTTTGTGTGTTGCATATATTTCAATAAGGCAATTAAATATAAGAAGTTGTTTTATTGCTTACCAAATTATTTAATCTGTGAGGTATCGACTGACTGGACATGAGTGGTGCTGTGGGCTGAGGCATCATCTGCAGTATGGTGGGGGTTGTACTCAAAGCTCCAGCTGCACCCAGAGTTGGCTTCAAGTAAGTCTGACACTTTCTTGAAAAGCATTAATCACTGTTGTTTGACCTCCACTTTGGTTTCTCTTTTTTTAAGCAGTTCTTGAATCTTATACTGTACAGAACACCAATACAGTACAGGTATCCCTCATTTAGCATTAATTTGCTTAACGTTAATTCTCTTAGCGATAAATAATTTTTGACACCCTTTCTGGCTTAATGTTAGGTTAAAATTTGCTTACTGGGGATTCTATGTTCCAATTGCACATCTCTACTGTCACTTGTCTATATTAACTCTACCCGCATGCCTTAGAGTATGTTGTGAATTCTTTTGGAAAACTGAGTGTGATAAAGCATCATAGAAGTTGTGAAGTGCTGGGAGCACGCACATGAGCTGTGGCCTGAATGACTCGTGGACTTGCTCTGTGCCTGACTGGCGTTCCCATTTGCAGCTTCATAGCCAACCTGAAGCAAGTGCTGAAGGAGTGCATCCTGTGTTGGTGGTAAATTTTCAAATTCTTGCACTACCGACATTGTTCTCTGAGCTACCCCTGTCGTACATTATCACAATATATCTTTCAATGGATGGAAGGAAACTGCTATGCTATTTGGTGTTAGAGTTTGGGCCAGGACACATACGACAGTTGTCAATTCATTGTAAGCTTGCCAAGCAATCCAGGCTGTAGCTTACCCTTTCCCGCAAATAATGTGACATCACAGCCAGTTAGTGCATGAAAAGCAAGCAGAGCTGAACATCTTTCCTCACCTAATACCTCAGCCATCCGTGTAACATCAAGATAGCGGAAGGACTGTCCCATACCAAATCCTATTTAAAGACATTCACAGCCTATCTTTGTAGCAAAGCCTAAGCGAGTACCACAACATCCGTGTCAACAGTCCTGATGAATATTTTTCTGAATCCTCGATGTGCTCCGCCTGCAGAACCATACGTATGTCTGCCTCCTCATGTGAACATGGGGAGAGTCCTTCAGGTGGATAGGTTGGCTCTGAGCATATCACATGTTCTTGATAGGTGACCCTTACAATTCCTGGAAACTCTTCCCGGTTGACCTGATTTACTGATAAGATGGAAGAGCTTTCTTATTTTTACTTTCTTGCAGAAAGCCCAGCCAATTTCCTGGGAGCTTTTGTCTTCCCTCAACTCGTCGTCTGGTACCATGTCCCCTTTCTACTCTTGTGGCTGATTTCAGACTATCTGCTTTGTATACATCAAACACCATGTCAACTTGTTTCACAGAACCACGAAATTGACGTCTGATGTATTCCATGATTCTGGTGTACATAATACATCAAAACTCTTGCAAGTACCTGCCTTGACCATGTTGACAGTTGCTGCACCATCAAGAATACCATATTTGCATCATGTTGGAAACTGGCACTGTTATGGTGTGGTACCAAGTGTTTGAGAAGAGGAAGTAAGGCGGACTTAATACCAAATCTCATATCTCCATAGAGATAATGATGGAGGGGAAGTCCCCATTTTACATGTTAACTTGGATTTCAGAATGAATGACATTGTATAGCAATATCAATATTAGGTTTAACTGCAATAGAAGCAGAGATATTGTGCATTTTAATGTGATGTCATGGCCATCTTGAAAAATGGTTGCCACAGCCACCAGCAGGCAGATACAGATTGCCTCCAATCTTTAAAATGTTCTTCATGGATCCGAGTACTGTATCAGTGTACAAAGTAAGATGCTTTAGTAAAAAGGTGCATGATTTTTCCCTTACCCTCTGGACTAATTGGGAAATATATCCCACCACCACTGAGGCCACTAAAACAAAGTACAATAAAAGTCCAAAAATCCGGATGCCAGAAATCCGGACCACCCGAGAATCCGGACTTTTCAAAAACTCATTTTGTTTTTTTCTGTTACCTGGCTTTTGTGTGAATGTGCACATGTGTGAGCGCCACAGCTGCACAGCGACAACAAGCGACCACGCGGTCGCCACTTTAAAACGAGCAATCAAACTGTGACAATGTATGTAATTTTGAGTCCTGCTCTTTCCATTTACAGAGCCCATAATAATGGCTCCTAAAGTAGATAAACTTCGTTGTGTGAAGAGAAAGAAGAACACGTTGAAATTGAGTGACAAACTTTAAATAATTAAAATAGAACGTGGTGTGAGCAATACTGTTCTAATGGAAACATACAACATTGGAAACTCTACAATTTATGATATAAAAAAGGCAAAGAATAAAATTCTAGAATTCACAGCTTTTTCTTTAAAACTGCTCGTTTTGATAATGAAGCATGCTATATTTGCTAATTAATAAACTATCAAAATGTATCTGTTCATCTCTTCTTTATTCCTCCTTAAATTTGAATTTTTAAAGTGCTGCCTGAGAATCCGGAAAACCTGAAAATCCGGACCGACCTAATCCCCAAGCAGTCCGGATTTTTGGACTTCTACTGTAATCAGAACAAAACTAATCTGGAGGAGGGAATAAATTTTGTCCGAGTCTCAAAATTTTAGTTATAGCAAGAAAAAACAATGGTTTACAGGTAAAAGCGGGTAGGTGGCAATGCACAGAGGATGGAAAAGCAGTTTCTCAGCATATCATTAATGTGGATTTTGCCAAACATAAATCAATCAAGGGTGCTAAAACCTAATTATCGTTAATGCAAAATATCGTAAAACAGAGGGCACCTGTATTCAAGATATTTAATGTTTTATGTTTCGACTACCTACATGTTTTCAAGACTAAAATAATTCCTAAAGTATCTGCTGAAGAATTTTACTTGATGGTTGATTGTTAATAAGTGAAACAGTTACCATTTGCCTGCACCAAGGAAAAGCACACAGTAAAAATAAAAGTAAACTAACAAAAGAAAGGGATACTGTAATACTTAAAGCTTTGAGATATAATGGAAGTTTTAAGAATGTGCATAAATTATAAACTCACTGAAATGCTATAAATGTGCACTTGGAAACAGAAAAAAACTGACAATGGGACAATGAAACTATGACAAATGAGCAATCCAAACCAAACAATCTACCTAGAAAAATTTAAATAAATTTGTAGGAATCAAATAAAAAACAAAGTTAATTATGTCTGGGAAGTTTACAATACACATTAATCCAATGATGGGATATAAACGACCAGACATTTGGTACGAAATGCATGATCTCTTTCTGGCAATGACAAGATTCCTCACTTTCATTCTCTGTGGTAAAGAAAACCAAGATATCATTCCTAGCTCTGAACCACTAAATCAACTACATCCACTTAATAAAATGTCAACATCAGAGATACATCCAGTGAGAACATCACATGACACACTGTAAATGGTCATACCATACTTCACATATATTTCTGAGTACAACAGTCAGTTTGTCATTTTTGCTGTCTATGACCTGCATATTATTATAACACAAAGTACAATTTTTGGATTATAAGCTGCTTAGTATCTCAGTTG